GATTATCAAGATTTAATTTTGAATTTGGGACATGCAAACATGTATTGAGAGGATTAAGAAAGAGAGGAAGATGGTGGAGGTGTTTGAAGATCGTGGGGGGGGGGTGAGAGATACAGATGGGTAATGAAATTGGGGAAGGGAAACAACATAGGTGAGATAAAATAATTTGAATTGCTAATTTATCATTAATTAAGGACTTTAAATTTTTCAATACTATATTTAAGGAATTTGTATATCTGATTAAATTTTTTTATATGGTATAACATATCGATTAAAAAATTTAGTGAGAGAAAGTATTATTTTTAAGGCATAAAACTCTTTATAATTGAATGACCTTATAGAGAAGAAAAAATGAAAAGTGATTTAAGTAGAATTTTCTCAATATTTAAAGGGAAAATTACAAAAATCACATACTTTTAAGGCAAAATTACAATTTATCCCTTAAAACTTTATAATTACAGAAATTCCTCAAACAGATACAATAATATAAGCGCTGATACATTAATCTGATGCGCGAGATACATTAATCGTTAAGTAAAATACATTACATTTTATACATGATACACTAGTCTGATGTACATTTTATACATGATACACTAATTTGATGCGCGAGATACACTAATTTGATGCGCGAAAATGAGGGATTTTGAAGATTTGTAAAACTTATAGGAGATAATGGTAATAAGTAAACTAAAAGGTGAGATTTCTGTAATTTTTCCATATTTAAATAATCATACAAGAAAGAAAAATTCAAAATTAATATTAATAGGGTTTTCTCAGTACTTTAGATGACATATAAGAAATCAACTTCAAATATATAAGAGTAAGATTTTGTTAAGAAAGGTGAATTTCTTACTCCTAAAGTCCAATTTTTTAGGCCTAAAAAAGTGGGACAATTTTTTGGGTGATCTTGACAAATAATCATATTTTTGGGATGCTAATTAAAATATAATTGGGAAATTTCAGAAATAGCCATTAAAATAACTTAATTAGGCTTTATAATTATAGTTTGCTAGTTACGATTTGTAGTTATATGTTAGAGGGAAGAGAGATCGAGCGATAGTGGAGAGAGATCGAGCGATAGTGGAGAGAGATGATTTGTATTTGTATCTGTCAAATTGTATATGTATATCTGTTAGATAATTGTATATATGTAACTGGTATGTATATATATTTGTATATCTGGCGAGCGAGATTGGGAAAGGGAGGAAAGAGGCGAGCAAGATTGGGAGAGGGAGGAGAGAGGCGAGCGAGAGAGGACAAAGAGTGGAGAGAGAACAATTGTATTTGTATATTTGTCATATAATTGTATATATACATGTATAATTTGTATTTGTATTTGTATATGTATAAGATATGAGAGAGGCGAGAGAGAGGAAAATAGGAGAGAGGCGCATGTAATTATAGCTAAAAAGAAAGTATTGCTTACTTCTCCGTTTCTATTTTTTTGTCATATTTTTTTTGGCGACTTTTTAGTTTTAACTTTCCACGTAGTATATTTAATACCACAAATTTAAAAGATATTTGATACATTTGACATATCTTTAATTTAAGGCCTCAAGATTTTAAAATCTTCTTTACTTTCTTAAATTCCGTGTCAAGTTAAAACATGACAAATAAATTGTAACGGTGGGAGTATTCAAACTCATTGGGATATGCTTGCATTACACAGATTTTGTTAACAAGTTATGCAATGAAACAGTTGTATAGTCAGAAGGAAGTTCAAAACCAACTTCATAAGTCAAAAAGAGTAAGAGCCTGTTTGGATTGACTTAAAAAAAATAATTTTTAAATCAAAAATAAAAAGTTAAACATAAATGACTTCTAAGTCAAAAAAAAGAAGTAGGAGGTGACCTACTTTTGATTGTTAACTTATTTTAAGTCATTTTTAACTTATTTTAACCTTAATGACTTAAAATAAGTTAGGAAGTGTTTGACAGTGTTAAAAATAACTTAAAATAAGTTAAAAACTAAAAGTAAGTCACCCCTACTTTTTATATTTTGACTTAAAAGCCATTTAAGTTAACTTTTTATTTTTGACTTAAAAACTACTTTTTAAAGCCAATCCAAACGGACATGGTCCTGGTCCTCTTGAAATTTCACTAGGAGTTTTGAACTTTAGGATATGATACTTGGTAGATGCAGTGGTGACGTCAAATATTTGTTAAAGATTTAATATATACGCGTGAAATTTTTTTTTTGATATGTATACTTCTTATAATTTTGGATATACATAGTATAAGTTTTTAACGAAAGATATTCAACTGACCACCCTTCATTACTTGTGGCTATCCCTGTAGGTTTATAGCACGCTAGGATAGCTAAGAAATCACTCGAGAACTCAAAGGGGGGAAAGAATTCTTCAACATAGTCACAAGAAGGTGGTCTACGACCATTAGATCCCTAGAAAGAGGAGCAACTAAGAAGAGAGGGGTATAAAAGAAGGAAAGGAATGTCTTCGATCTGGCTCTTGTTCCCTGTAGGTTTATAGCACGCTAGGCTAGCTAAGAAAGGTATTCTATCTTTCTCTTTTTGTTGTTCGGCTCGATAGAATTGTTTAGAATCCTCTCCTACGCCATGGATAGGATCACCTCTAAATTTCTAGGTGGTCAATGGGATCATCGCTAAATTTAGGTGTCTAAGTGGAATTTCGAGCCAAATTTAGGTGTCTCCGTATGTACTTGGCCTTGGTTATATCAGTAAGATATTATTAGGGTAAATTACAGAAATCACATACTTTTAAGGCAATATTACAATCTATCCCTTAAAAGTTTATAATTACAGAAATCCCTCAAACGGATACAATAATATAAGCGCTGATACATTAATCTGATGCGTGATATACATTAATTGTTAAGTAA